CTGCACCTCTATAAGGCCAAACTACACATTGTTTTGAAATCACAGACTGGTGCCAATCCCATTTACCTCATGCAGTATGTGCAACTTACAGTTTCCTTCCTTAAGGTTTGAAAACATCCTGCATCTCTGTAGGAAGGAAAATAAATGGTAAGGAAACAAGATCAATACTGTATAAGAAAGAAAAATATAGGAAAAATAGATTAAGCTTTAAATATTAATTTCAATATGTACACTGTAAAACAGCCCATAAAGTTGGAATACTTTTTTGTTTTCAGACACATTCCTCTTTTTACTTCTATTTATACACATCAGTCATCACTTTCGACTGGTGCAATGATTACATGCTGAATCCCAGTTACCAGGTGACACAAATTCTGACTTCTGTATCTGACTGAAGAGTGGGACGTCCTGAACATTGACACCATCAACCAGCTGGTGGGCAGTATGCCACCATGTCTTAACGCACTGATGTGTGTCAGGGGTGGCCAGACTCAATATTAGTGACTGAGGGACATTTGAAAGAGTGATATTGGGCATTTTAATACATGAAATCCCCTCAAATACATGTTTCCTGTTATATGACCAAAGTTGAAAAAAATGAAACAAAACCCTTAATCCTATCGTTCAGTAGCCCCAATTTAGTTTAAGCCTGAATACATAGTTTTCAAAAGTTAATTGTGGTTTAATTTTTACTGTGATATGTATATTGTGATATCAGTCAAGTTTGAGAAGATTACACTTTATCAATCAAGAATAAATCGCATTCAATTCAATTCAATTCAATTCAATTTTATTTGTATAGCGCATATTTACAACAGTCATCTCATAGCGCTTCACAAAGGCAGAAACAGAAACACCCAACAATCCAAAACATCTGGATTGTCACAATAATTTCATGAGAAGAGGCAAAAAAAAAAATTATTCCAACTTTATGGGCAACAGTGTATATGATAATAATAATAACAACAACAATAATATATCATAGAGGTATATTATCATACATATAATCTTTCTTATACAGTCTATGCTGGCAACACTGCAGTTGTGAAATTGCAAAAGTGCGTTCAAAAGACTCAATCTGCTGCTGGGTTAGAGGTAAAAATAATGAAAGATCATGCAGTGAATGCTACGTGACTGGATCATGGATTACTGTAACCACAGTACCCATAATGCTGCACGCCACTTTAAAACTGTGGAAGGTCATTTCGCCTACTTTGTATTTTATTTACCAGTGTATTGGCTTGTGTTATTATCCTAATTATTGTTTTTTCAATTTTCATTTTAGATGCATCGTGTCACTTTTTAGTCTCCGAAAGCATGTGTGCTATCAGATACCAGTAGATGGTGGTAGCAGCTGTGTAACGTGACTGATTGGCGCTTTTATCTGAACACGGGCAAGTGATCCCAGTCACAGATGCTGGAAGAACCTGTGCAACACCAACACTAATGTTTGTATAACACACGTCCTGCCTCTGTTACCAAAAAGTCAGTTACCTAGTTTTTAACAGCCAAACTGGGAAACCTCCAGCCAATCATGTTGTTGCACTGAAACCAGCACAGTGTCGTGAAACATGCAAAGTAAAAGTGTAATGTGTTGAGGAAAAATACTCTTTAAAGCTTATTTTGGGTAATAGTTACCAAACTTTAAAATTGACCCATGATTCTAAATGTGCCAATTTTATCACCCAGCTATCAATAAAATTGCAGTTACAGCGCTTTTGCCTTTCATTAAGTTAACACTGGTCTTGATAGCTTTCAATAACTGCTGAGGGGTGTTACCAAGATGGCTGCAGAGTAGCCAGACTTACATACGAGATGTGTCAGAAAAGTTTCAGGACTGGTGTCACAAAAGATATATTTCAAATCCAAACTACAAACTACTAGTTTTCCCCTTCATAGCAATCCCCCTGGAGTCTAACACACTGTCCCAGCCTTCTCTGCCACTCCGCCATGCACTACTGGAGGGATTCTTCTGAGATCCTCCACAGCTCCGTCGTCACAGCCATCTTGATGTTGTCTACGTCTTCAAAATGGGTCCCTTTGATGACCCCCTTGAGCTTGGGGAAGAGAAAAAAATCCCACGGAGCCAGGTGGGGTGAGTAGGGAGGTTGTTCCAGCACGGCCATGTTCTTCTCAGCCAGGAACTGTTGGATGCTCAGGACATTGTGAGCAGGCGTGTTGTCATGGTGAAGCAGCCACGACTTGTCCTGCCACAACTCTCGCCTCTTCTCGCGCACTGAACGAAGCAAACGATGCAGGATCTCTTTGTAGACGTGCTGGTTGATCACCTGGAGGGGAAAACTGGTAGTTTGGGTATGAAATATATCTTTAGTGACACCAGTCCTGGAACTTTTCTGACACACCTCATATAAGGACTTTAAGCAGAAGAACTTGCTGCTTATTATGATGGTACTTTGAAAAGTTCTCAGCCTTCTTGTTCTTGCATTATTTTTCAACATAGCCCCCTTAGCTTTAGTGTATTTGGTTCTACGATGTTCAAACATCACTACCATTTCGTGGAAGAAAGTCATACTCCTAAACATCATGTATGACGTCTTCATCACTCTAAAAATTGCGACTGCGCAGGTGGAACTACAGTTTGGGAAAGAAGTCAGACGGTGCAGGTTGGGTGAGTAAGGTTCATGGGGCAACAGTTCAAAGCCACATCTGGCTGCTTCTGCCACCTGTACTGTGTGGATGGACACATTGTCCTGGAGCAACAGTAGCAGCTCAAAGCTTTCCTCTCCTTTTTTCTTTGATTGCTTCCCACATTTGAGTTTTTGTGGACAGTGATATAAGACTTTGTAGTATACAGTTTCACCCCTTGTTTCCACGTGAGGCAGAGAACTTTTGTTTTCAGGTGACAGTATTTACCTGTATGAGCTGGTGAGATTGTTATATTGTAGACAGGTACTGTAGAGAGCAGATGTTCATTTAATGGTTTAGCTTGTCCAGGTGGTAGATTGTTAATTTGAAATACTAGACATATGATTTTGTATTTTGATAGTGATATTGACACACCAGTCCGCCAGACTACGGCATATTTTATTATCTTAAATATAATGCATAAAATCTGTGCCTGCGAAGCAACAGCTGTCAGGTACATATTGTAACTGGTATTTCCCTCTGTGACGCTGTGGATGGTGTAAAATTAGACAAAATGTAAAAGAAAGCAATGCACAAAATAGAAATACTCAAACCACCGTACTCGAGTAGCTGTGTTAGATTCGGTTCTTGTTGCTGTGGGCTTCACTCGTGCACTGCTGATGCAGGGCAGGTGTGGGTGGTACCACTGCTCTCTCTCACACACACACACACACACACACACACACACACACACACACACACACACACACCCTGCTGAGAGGGTTCATACAGCCATAATTACACTCCTGCCACAGCTATAGGAAGCCGGGTGGCTGCGGGTGGGAACAGAGGAGAGTCTCTCAGCAGGCGGCAGGGAACAGTGCACTGAAGGGAGCTCAAAAATCAGCCAACCGAGGTCCTCCGTGGGGCCTAATTACAGAGTGAACATGACTAATGATGAATCTGGCGGTGCTGTGTCCGAAATATGCAGCTCTCATCGCCCCAGTCAACCTGAGTCTGACTCCCAGGTGATGCAGCTATAGTGCAGAAGTGACACTCCTATAGCCTGCAGCCTGGACCACATACAGACTCTATGGCTGTGGGCACATTTGTGTGTGAAGTATGGACTTTACATTTCAGTATGCGTAGCATATGTGGAATGTGATTACTGTGTGCCACAAATTGAGGTAGCTCTGTGTTTGTGCGCAAATAGATGATTCAAAGAGGGTTTATTTGCAGTTTCCATATGAGAGCAGGTCGCCCTTTTGTCGCTGATAACTGTGTTTCAGGGGAAATGAAGACTGATTTCCTTACAAGTGTTATTCTTTCCTCTGAGAATTTCTGGTATAGTTGGTCCCCAGCACTTGATGGGAGTTATATATGCAGACACACACGTCCACAGCAGTTTACCTTTGAATTATTCCTCTGACAGGCTGGATTCCTTCACATTTCCCCGCGTCCTTCAATCAGGGAAATGATTAAACGGAAGTGGAGATCCTCTGGGAGAGCACAGCCTCTCATACAGACTCCTAGAGATGAATATACAGGAGGTGTGTGGGGGGTGGAGAAAAGAAATGTCAGTTTTTATTTTATTGGCAAGTTGAACGAGAAAGGAGGCTGAAGCTGCAGCAGCTTAAGGAGCTGTCCAGATGCTGAAAGAGCACCAAGCAGCCTTTGCGTAAAAAAAAAAAAAGGCACTGTAATTTAACTGGGTGGAAATAAACTGTGTGGACTAAAGGTTCTGTTTGAATCTTAATTTGATTCAGGGTTTGTTTTTATTTATTTCAGTGAAAACCCTCTGCAGGATTTTTAAACCAAATCATAAAAATGGCACTCCTGAGAGTTGTTTCAATTAAGTCCACAATATTTCACCTTTATTCGTTTTTTTTTTTTTAAATGACAAGTGAGACAATCCAATCCAAAGCTATTCACGCCCCTCGGTGCTTGTTTATTTTCTGTTAGAGGCTCTTACAACCAATTTGGACCAAAATAACGATCCGCCCGCCGCAGATCAATAGCTGGAATCTGCAACGAGTGTCAGTCGCAGCCCCGCATGTAGGAGAATGCAGACAGGAGGGGTGGAGTTCACAGCTTTTACTTTTCAAAGCTCCTCTGGCAGAAGAGCTCATTCTTAGCCTGGAAAACAGCGGAGTTGGCGCTTCATGCGTCCTGGCATGTGATTCCCACTTTTTTTCTTTTTGGTGTGTGTGTGTCAAATCAATCGGCTCACTGCTGCAGTCTCCAATTAAACTTTCCATGCTGTTGCCCGTCCAGCGGACAGCACTCGGGAGGTTTTGTCCGGACCGCGTTCGCTCCTGCTCGGTCGTCCGCTGCGCTCCGACTCTCCAGCCTCGGCTCTCCGGGTTCGACGGGACTCAGGCGGCCAGAGGTGCTGGCCCGGTTCTCCCGCACGCATGGAGGGAGACGTTATGGACAAAGTGGAGGCCACGGCGACGGTCCGTGACTTCGACCCCATGAGTGGGAGCATCCCGGCCACCAAAGTGGAGATCACCGTGTCCTGCAGGTGAGTCCGTGCTGCTGCTGCTGCTGCTGCTGCTGCTGTGAGTGGATGCGTCAAGGGTTTGGGAAGCTCCGTGCGTTTTGGTTACTATTTGCTGCGGAATGCACTTCTTTGTGAGGAGTTACGCGTCTGTAACTGTCGCAGTTTGACATATTTGTGTGAAAAAGACACACATTTAACGTTTTGATGGAGAAAACAACTTTACGAGATGCAAAATAAAACGCTGTGTAGTTAAAATCCTCGCACACACCACCAAACCTCTTGGCATAGGGAGCTGAAACATGGGAGTTTTCATCACAATTTTAAATAATAATAATAAAAAAACTCCCATAGCACCAAATTACGATTGCATCAGTGTCCATATTTCCTCCCAGTAACAGTAAGTGAGCGAGCGAGCCAATCTGTCCATCAACTTTTACGCATGTGTTTGTTCGTTTGTCGTTAAAATCTGTACTTTGGGTGTTTGATTAGAAAAAGCCCAGCTTCAGTCAGGTGAAGCCACAGTGGCTCTGCAGTGCTGTGCTGTGCTTTTTTTTTTTTTTTTTGAGCGCGTCAACTCGCATGCCACAGAATATATCGACCGTCGTGGAGTTCATTGGCGCGCCCGAGAGGTTTCCCCCCTGAGGCAGCGTGTCATGTGTGAAACTGTGCGTGTGCCCGTCAGCCTCCGAAAACGACACTAGTCTGTCACAGAGATTGACACTGAACATTTCTCCCGTTAGCATGCAGATGAAAGCAAACGAGGGAGAAAATATCCACGAAGAGGAGGAAGAGCCTCGGTTGGATAGATTAGGGTGGGGCACCGCTGGTTGCAGGTAGAGACTCTGGGCGCGCAGGGCTGACATATATCGGTGGCTTTAACTCGACGAGTGTGCAGTTGTAATCAATGTTTCTCGTGGAATATAGTGTCAATTTTGTGTTTCCACGGCCTCCCCAGCTGTGCGTCATTTCGCCCCGATCCACAGTGTTTAGCTCTTTGTACCTTCTGGCTACACACACTGGTATATGCATGTAAATGAAGTACGGGAAGCCACAGGGGAGAGATTTATCAACCAAACACTCTGCTGCCATCGTTTTCCTCTCTCATCTGCATTATTCACTTTGTCAGTTGCCTGGAAGGGAAACTGACTGATTGTCTATCTTGTTCAA